TATATATATTATGAAACATGTACTCGCAATATGGTATAAAATCACAATAGTAGCAAGGTATAAAATACATATAATCAAGCATAATTATTATCACACATATAATTTACAGATTAGTTGATATAGTTAATTATATGTGGTATTTTTCTTATACCAATCATAGTAAAATAGATATAATATCATATCAGTAAAAAAATTCAGAACAATTAGTTAGCTGACACAATACACAGAAGTTTTCACTTCTATCCCATCGATAATCAAATCATATCATATCATATTCACCTCTAACAACTCTCAACATGTATCAGGTTTATACTACTAACTCATTTAAAGGAAAGTCTGTCGATCCACCCTCCTGCGCAAGGTAACATATCTCTGTCAATCTGAATCATAGTAACCAGCATTTCTTGTATGCATACATTTCACAATATCATAACATTTTCAAGCAGTTATAATATATTTAGTATCAAAGTGTATATGAAAAACACACATGTACAACGGAATAGAAAGATCCACATTATTATTGGAACCAATCAAAACAAAAAATGCATATTAAGCATGTATGTCGTCATCTTTGTGTCAGTAACACATGATTTTAATTATTTTTTTATAAAATCTTATAAAACTCAATTTAGTATTTTTGTCTCAAACAAAAGAAATACACAATGAAAATTCAAATCTCTAATTTCACATAAAAAATAGCACTATAACTTCTTTTTAAAAGTAAATGCATATTTTTCGTGCATAAGTTTAAAGCACTAAAGTACTATGCATGTAAATACAAAAATTTGGTGGCGAGATATGTAAATACATAAGATTTGTGTGCTAAGTATGTAAATTTTCCTAATTTATTAAGTGTTTATATTCAAAGTCTTAAAGGTTCATGTTACTCGATGTAAAAGTACTTCATTTATGATAATGATACATTATGCCATCATTCAAATCTATTCAGTGGCATTTCCAGTAATAAAATGATAATAATGAGTCATGAGTGCATTTTATTGTAATAATTAGATTAAGAGAGTTGATAATCATAGCAATATTGTATTTTCAATTATATTTCTAAAGGGAAATCCTGGAGCTTGCGATCGTTACATTGTAATGAATATCACGTAAACTTTCAAAACTAATTATTATTGTAATAAATAGAACTGTAAAAACGGCTCGTTGTTCAGGAATAGCTCGTGTTTAGCTTGTTAAAAACTCGTGTTTGATTTGTTCGCTTAGTTAATGAGCCGAACACAAACACTTTTTTTGTGCTCAATATATAAACGAGTTGAACATAAATTTGTTCGTGTTCGGCTCGTACTAATCATCAATTATATATAATAAGCTACAAAGCCACAAAGGTTTATAATCAATTAAAATTATTAATTAAAAAAATAGAATAAAAATATATTAAATTATATTTAAATGAGGTTTTAATATAAACAATAGGATTTAAATCTTGCTCCAATCCTTCAACATCTACGGCTGATTAGGCCTGTCAAAATGACTCTTTCTTAGCTAACGGCTCATGTTCGGCTCGCTCAGCAAACGAGTCAAACACGAACAATAATATTTTTTAACGAACCGAGCACAAGCTTAGCCTGGGCTCTCTCGTGTTCGGCTCATCTACACCCTTAGTAATAATCATTACTTAGCTATAAAAGAAGGAATTGATTTGTACAAGCATTTCTTACAAAATATCTATACAAAATCCAGCCATACATAAGAGCTCAAGCTATAAGTTGATTTTAGTATTTAAACATATTAGTTTTATGTTTGTTCGTATGTGCGTAATTGTTTAATTTTAAAATAATTGTAATTGTATTTTAATATTGAAAATTTTTGAAATTTTGAATTTTAAATTTTAAAAATAAAAAGTGCTATAAATTTTTAATTAATTATTTGACTTAATATGATGTAGGAAGGCCAAATTCATAAGTTTAGGTTAGAATTTGAGTTTAGTATTTAAATTTTATTTATTTCATTTTACTAGTAAATGTGTAATAGAGAATTTTATTGTAATTTTTTATATTTTTTTTCAATTTTTGCAAATTTTGAATATCATAAGTTTAATTTTCTTAAAAAGGAAGGGATGGTGTGTTTTTTTTTATTTGGGAATTATTTAATTGACTTAAAAATAATTAGATAATTAATTATTATGTTATGAAAGCCCGCCTCCACTCATTTAAAGAGATAGTTGCATGTTAGGCAACAATCTATTTTATAATCATATGCTTGATTGGCTCGCACTTAATATTTTCTCTCCCTATTTTTATATGAAATCTAAATCATTATAAAATTTTTGAGTATTTCTTATGGAAGTAATGAAAAAATTAGTAGTTTTTAAAACAAAAGTTTTATTGTTAACTCATAAGAAAGGCTTGATAATCACTTTCTAAAATAGAGGTTATTTGGTAATATAATGTAGTCTATGTATCTTTAGTGAGTTGCATTATTGCTAAACTTAAAGCCCTCTTTTACAGTAAAAATTCTTTTACATATCTCCTCTAACAATGATTTGAGCAAACACAATGTACCATCTTTTTATTGCACTCCTTTTTGTTTTATTAGCCTTATTTCATTTTATGACTCTTATTCTCAAATAGGTTATCTTTCAACTCATCTTATCACATCTATTTAAAGATGAAAGAGTTCTCATAGTACCGGATGAAGGGGGGGGGGGGGGGGGAGAAAAAAAAATAATGAATCAAACAAAAGAATAAAAAGGAGATAGAGAAAGCTCATAAGATAATTTTAATGAGATAACTCGAGTACAAAGATCTAAAAGAATCAAACCAATTCAACTAGAATAAATCCACGAAAAAAATCTATAATAATGCTCAACATATAACTAATGAAAAATCCAAATTATTATTATTTTGGATAAATGATTGCTCCAAAAAAATTATTTATTTGGTTAATTATATATAGGAGGATACCCAAAAATACTCTTTTGTAAAAATAAAAAATTGCATGCATTATAAAATCTATTAATGAGATCATAAAGAGGTAATATTATCATTTTAGTAGGGGCTACCTTGAGCTTCAAAATTAAGTCAGGCCACTAATTAGAGGGTGAATCATTATATTCCTCCCGTTGGGTGATCACCTCATAAAAAAAGGGTCTACAAAATGACACCGAATGAATATATCAAAAGAGAAGGAATTGGCTCAAAAGAGAACCAAGGATAGAAATAACTTTTTAAAATTGGAAGACATAACGTAGTCAATAATTCATAGACTATCATATTGAGTTATCAAACTTCAAATATAATTGGCCATAGAGATAATCAAACCAACATAAATGTATGTTTCTTGTCAATAATCTAAGAATTATGTCATCCAAGAAAACTTCACTGACCCAAAATTGATGAAAGAGACTAGTCTAGAATCATATAATTTTTTCATGTATAAAATTACAAAAATATAACTTACACCCTTTTAAATATGATAGGGTGCCTATGGAAGTAAATTAGGAAGATGACAGCTCTATCATAAGAGAAATTACTATCCAATATGAACTTACATTTGATTTTGGTTAGTACAACCGCTAAAACTCTAAGTGCTTTAGACAATCATCTAAACAAATATAAATCATGAAACTAGTCAAGTAGAAGCAAGCAAGTATACTTCCAAGGAACTTGAAATGATGCAATATTATTTGTCCCTAATGTTAAGGCTCTATTAATATACATAGGATTATATGCTATGAC